TACATGTGTATGTGTACACATATATGCTGAACTCTGTGTGTGCGTGTCAGTGGTGCTCAATTTTTTCTTTACTTTCTACACTTACTTGTTGGTACGCCACAAGTACAAGTGGATGAGCTCCACTGAGGCTCAATAACTACCTTAAAGATTGTTTTACTGTGTCAAGTGTTTCTTTTAAATATTCAGAAGCTTCTGACATACGAGCAGAGTAAGAATCAAGTTCTTTCTTNTTTTTAATATGGAATTTATCTGGTGTGGGAACTATAGAAGCTTTACGTTTACATTTCATGTTAGATAAATATTTTTTTTTCCAGTTTCAGACATAGATATTTTTTGTTCAATACTGCTTGCTGATGATTCAATATGTGAAAAAAAATCATCTGAAGAAAGCAATATTTCGCTGTTTGGTGTCTCTGTGAGNAAATGTGCGACATCTAAAAATTCAAATATAATCTGTAAATTAAATTACTTCAAAAACAAATTATAATAAAAATATTTTTAAATATGTATGACCTGAAAATTCAGAACTTATCACATTTGCATTCTGCATAGTACAATCCATTGTTTCTNATGAGGCTGATTTAAAGGAAACCAAAGGTCCAGTAGTAGAAGAAGAAAGTGGCTGTTTGTAAAAATTTGATGTTCTGTTTGACCTAAAATAATGAAACAGAAATTAAATTATAAATCAAATCATACACACGTAAATGCATAAAACTAGAAATAAAAATAAGAATATTTTTAATTATTAATTATTATTAAGTTTTATTATTAATTAGTAATTTACTTATGACGCATATGTGGTATAAGAAACTGCATGTCACTCCAGTAGTCCCATTCAATGTTTGTTGACTTTTTTTTAGCATCAGTTCCACTTCCACTTGGTGCTTTCTCCTTCAACTGTGCTAATTTGCGGCTAAATACAGTTCTCAATGATTTCCATTTTTTTTGCACTTCTATTTCTGCAACAAATGGTAGAATAACAATTAAACTGTATTGAGTTATAAAAAAAATTAATTTTTAATTTTACACATAAATATAACACATAAAAAACACACCACTTTTATTCAGCAAATTTGCTATTATTTTCCAAGTATTTTTTTTTTCTCTATTAGAAAAATCTTTAATGGATTTATCAAACAAAAATTTATTTGTTTTTATTAGTGCAATAAGTGATCGTATTTCCGATTCATTCCATTCTTCTACTTCTTCGAACATATCCAAATCATAATATTCGACATATTCTTCTTCCATTTTTGTAAAATAAATGATTAAAAAAGTAAAACAATAAAATACAAAAAATACTAAGAAAATCATAACCTATATTCACCAATGTTTACTTAATAAACGGTTATAAAATTTCATTTTTACGCTTTTTCTGAATACGACANTTGATTGGCTGACATGCTGCAATTGCGAATTGCAGTTGCCAAAAGTTAAAAGTTGACCAACTCTCTTTTGGCAACCGCAACGCTAAGCNCAACCGGAAATAACATTTTTCCCCTAGTGGTTGCCATCTTTCGCAACTGGCGACAGAACATTTTCAACTCATTGTAGAATGGCCCTAAAGAATTGTTTCGGTTCCAATTTTGCCACTACACATGTTCCGCAACAGATCAGGGGAGCCAACCTTCTTTTTTTTTCACTATTTTCACTTCTTTCATTAGTTTCATTAGTTTCATTAGTTCCAATTCCTGTATTTCCTGCATTTCCTCCATTAGTTCGTTCCATCTTGCTTAACTGAACACAGCCCCGGAGTGGAACCGAATTGAGGGTTTCGGTGGAAACTAGACCACTGGCGCTGTAAGAGAATCAAAATTGGGCACACTCAGAGGTGCAAACTCTGACCCGCTAGCACCGAGAGCACCGAGGTGATGGGAGCCACTGGGAACACGCACACAAGCAAGAACCGTCCGTGTGCGTGACGAGCCGACGTGCTGAGCGTGACGTCACGCACACGGACGGCGGTTCTCGCTTGTGTGCGTGCTCCCAGTGGCTCCCACCACCTCGGTGCTTTTGGTGCTAGCGGGTCAGAGTTTGCACCTCTGGGCACACTGCCCCTCACTTTAATGCTCTCGATGCTGCCTGCACAATCTGGTATCTCTGCTTTTGAGTGAGTGTTCCAGTATAGTATATAGTTCAGTGGTGGCAGTTGAGCATAGCTGAGGTATTCTTGTCTCTGATGAGTTCCCCAGATTCTACAGTGTTTAGTTCGTATCAGTTCGTATCTTTCGTTATTTTGTATGTAATAACTAAAGAGGAAAAATGGTGGCCGTAACGGTCGGACGTGCGTAGTGACGCAGAAAGTATTTTTGGACAATTTCGGTGTTTTTACACCAGTTTTCTTAACAGGCGAATCGCCTGCGTAAAACATTTACTTTAAGTGTGTTATATGAAGTATATGATCTTATAATGGCGTATGGGCTGCCTCTATAGCTCGCGAGCCACAATTACACCCTAACCCTAACCTTAACTTTAACAACCTTAACCTTAACCTTAACCTTAACCTTAACCTTAACCTTAACAACTACAGTAACAGTGTAAGTAACGTAACAGTGACATTTCGTGAGTGATCGATGATCAAAGCGCGTGGTTAAATCGCGCCGTTAAATGCAAGTTCAAATATTCACTGTGCTAAATCCTTTTGATATTTTTATGGTTCTTTTCCCTCAAAAATAGACACGTTAAATAAGTAAATGAAATTCTTCGGATTTTTCCAGAACTGTGCTGCATTACTTTTGTATGCATTTATTTTTCTCATGTATATTGTTAAGTTAGTACTGTATTTTGCGATAAATTTTTTTATAATATGATAAAGTTTTATTACATTAGCATAAAAAAAATGTATAACATCAAGTGAATCTTTAATTATTTTGCGTAACAAGTATGCAGAAAATTTACCTGACACTTTTCTAATTTTTTCGTATTTCAAATTTAAACATATTTTCACTGAAAATTGTTGATCTAATATTTAACTTATGAATGTACAACAAGGATTTATTGCACAGAAATATAGACAACAATATCGACATATCGTTTTCAGATTGTTGCAACAGTAGAATAATGAGTAACAGTTATGATGTAAAGTCTGGTGGCGATGCCATTGTGACAACAGTGCCACATCAACGCATGAATGAGACGGAAAATGGGAAAGCCACAGAAAACACATCTCTATCCCCAAACAACAATCAGACATACTTTGCGGATGAGAGAGTGCAAATACCAGAAACAACAGGTGTAAGTGTTTACAATTTCTTATCGATTGAATAAATAGTAGCATATGTTATTGCTTGAAAATATAATTTGAAAGAAAAATAATACACATACAAATTTGTAAATAATATATAACATGTTTTATATGCTTGTATATTATCCTCAGCATTAATGCAAATGTAATATAAAATTCTTTTTTGTAGTCTAGATTTAGTTTTAGAAAATTATGGGCTTTCACGGGACCTGGTTTTCTGATGTCCATAGCTTATTTGGATCCTGGCAACATAGAATCAGATCTGCAGTCTGGAGTGGTGGCACAATATAAGGTATATTTATATTTGTTGCCTGGATTCCAATCTGAATGTACATGTTGTGATGACAGAGTTCTGTTTATTTTAATACCATATGTGTTGTTTATTTAGTTTCTTTATTAACACTTTTTGTTAATGGTTTTGCTTTTTAGTTATTATGGGTACTATTAAGTGCTACTATCTTAGGTCTTGTTATGCAAAGACTTAGTGCACGCCTCGGTGTGGTAACTGGTCTGCATCTAGCAGAGATGTGTTATAGACAATACAAGAAAGTGCCTAGGATTATATTGTGGATAATGATAGAAATAGCGATTATTGGTAGTGATATGCAAGAGGTAATAGGAACGGCTATTGCCCTTTATCTGCTATCTAATAAAATGTAAGTGCTCTCTTGATAAGATGGTGAAATACATAATGTTTATCTAAGTATCGATATTAAATTAATATGTGTGTCAAGATTGTGTGGAAAGATTTTCTTGGAAGAAATCTGGAATCTAGAGCGTTTAAGAGAGAATTAGCCTGATAATTGATATGTTATTATTTTTCTTATTTTATTTGTATTTTTTATTTGAGTTTTTAATTTTTGTTGTTGTGGATTTAGATAGTTGATAATATGTATAAATACATAAAGACAATATAAATAAAGATTACATAAGTGAAATTATTTGTTAATATTCTCTTTTGGGTTTCAGAATTCCTATATGGTGTGGTGTACTTATCACGGTAGTTGATACATTTACATTTTTGTTCCTAGATAAATATGGCTTGAGAAAATTGGAGTTGTTCTTTGGTTTTCTCATTGCAATCATGGCTGTCACTTTCGGTTACGAGGTAACGACATCATTTCAACATTCAAAATCTATATCGCTCTTCAAGTGGAATTTATTCATTACTAAAAAGTACAACATAACTTTTTGATCTTTCAGTATATTGTCTCTGAACCTCCTCAACTAGAAGTTATGAGAGGTATGTTTATTCCGTGGTACAAAGGAATGAATTATGATAATAAGATGCTGCTTCAAGCTGTAGGAATAGTCGGTGCGGTTATTATGCCGCACAATTTGTATCTTCACAGCGCTCTGGTCAAAGTAAGAACATCCAATGAAAAATAATAGTTACGAACAACTATATAAATATAATTAAAATTCTTCATCAATGTATGTCTTATTCTTCAGTCAAGAGACATCGATCGAAAGCAACCTTCGAAGATCAGAGATGCCAATATGTATTACTTCATCGAGGCCTGCATTGCGTTGTTTGTTTCGTTTATAATCAATGTGTTTGTTGTAGCTGTATTTGCCCATGGGCTTTTTGATAAGACAAACAAGGACGTCGTAAGTTATAGCACAGTCGTCACAAACAATTTCGAGTAATATTCTGAATCGGGAGTTGTATTGATTTTTATTTTATTCTTTTTGCAGTATGAAATTTGTAAAGCAAATAATTACACCCTCGGAATAAAAATCTTCGAAGTAAGCCTTTTACATTCAACTTTAAACTATCCGACCGTTTGCCAGTTTTTTTTGTAAAAAAACATTCTTTTCCGGATTGTAGGACAATAAAACGCTGGAAGCTGATTTATACAAAGGAGGAATCTTTCTGGGCTGTTCCTTTGGCGCGGCAGCGATGTATATTTGGGCCGTTGGTATTCTGGCCGCTGGTCAATCATCCACGATGACGGGCACATATGCCGGTCAATTCGCGATGGAAGGATTTCTGAATCTGCAATGGGCCCGCTGGAAACGTGTTCTTTTCACTCGTACAATTGCCATAGTTCCTACGTTTCTGGTGGCATTCTTTGCTGACATAGACAATTTGAGCGGCATGAACGACATTTTAAACGCTATAATGAGCATGCAATTGCCATTCGCCACTTTACCGACTATTGCCTTCACCAGTAGTGTTCAGATCATGGGCGAATTTCGAAACGGAATGTACGTACTCTTGTTTATTGTTTTAGGATACTTGTCACTTTTTAATGTAACGTTTCTTTATGTCGTCTTTTACTCATTATGTTTGTTGCAGAGTGAATAAGATCGTATCGACTGCTTTGTCCATTCTAGTAATAACAATAAACATATACTTTGTAATACAAACTGTCCAGGAAGATCTGCCCCATAATTGGGCCATATTATTATGTATGTCTATATATGCGATTATGTATCTTATTTTCTGTGGTTACCTGGCTATTCATATGGCAGTGAGCATGGGTGCGACTTCTCTTGGCAGTCATTGGGTAAGTGTGTGTAGTTTCTGCCTATAATATATTTAAGACTATTAAATTATTTTTTTTACATTAAACAAACTTTTTTAACAATTTAATTTTTGTTATATAATTTTTACGATATATGTAGTTTTATAAATAATACGTTACTATCATTCTATAAGATCTAAAATCACATATAATCTTTTTCTTTCAGTTTGTTGACAAGTACATTGGTACGCCTGTAGTTTCTTCTCTTAGAATATCAAATTCTGCTGTTTATGCCAGGTAAGAAAACTTCTAGCAACATTTATTTTGTCATAGTCTCACAATTATCTACAAGTTTTGTCTCACTTACTACTAATCTTCTCTTTCTCTCTTCCTGTCTTCTTTATCTGCGCGCAATATTTTAACGTTAAATTATGAAAAAAACTGAAAATTAATACTTGTGCTATATGTCACTAATAGTACTTGAAATGTTCAGTGCACAATTTAAACGAATTAGAAAGAAAATTATTTGATAGTGTGTGCTTGCTATACTTATACATTGCATGACTTCTCTAGATATTTTAAACTTATAAATGTATATTCAAATACTAAAAACAAATTGGATATATGCTTAATAAGATGCTCAAGTAGATAATTTCTTAAAATAAGTGATTTTATAATATGGTGACGGTTGGGAATGTAAAATTTATGTTGTAACTTCGTGTATGAAATAAGGCTTTTGATATTTTACTACAACCATTGTGTAAGCGAGAAATCATACGCAGGTATTATTAAAAAAGTCATTCGCAAAACTTAGAAGGCTTATTTTATATCACTGTATTAAGAAACAAAGATTAAAATTATTTGTCAATAATAATACAAAATAATAAATTTTTATCAATAATAAATTTGATTGCACCTATTAGTAATAAGTTTATTTGCACCTATTTTGCTCCAGGTTAGCACACGCACGTGTAGAATTTATTTGCAATAAAATGTATTTCTTTCTACTATGCTAAGAGAATAAATTTATTAATGTAGAAATATATTTTATTTGATTGAACTAAATAAAACTATAAATGTTTTTTATAAAATTAAAATTGATATTTAATATAATATAATACAGTATAATTCACAATGATTCAAGTGTTCTCGAAGCGCGCGATTTCTACCGACGTCTTATCTTGTCAACGGATGCGAACCTTCTCCGTGTTCTCAGCCTTACAATGCTTTATTATCATCTTTACCTCTCTGCTTCGGTTTGACTCGTCAGACAGCAAGTACGTTAATTTGAAAAGCAAAATATTTGTCACTTCTTATTCGTCGGGAAAGTCACGCAGATATACAATTTTGCCGATAACATATAACGCGTTAAGAGTATTCTTAGCTTACTGTCGAAAACATTTAAAATATGATTGAAAATATAATTTCTAATTCTACACTCGGCCATTCTGAAGAAATTAATCTGTCCTCAGATTTCGTCCTCGCTATCTAAAATTTCTTTATCGCTATTGGCCGTGTCTATCCAGGGTTTCATATGATCGGCCGAGGAAGATGTTTCGAGTGGCCCTTCATGGTCACCTATTTGTTTTACAATATCGATCATTACGCAGCGTTTTAATAATTTGGTAAGGACCTAAGAACTTTGAAGCGCATTGTAATCCGGGACTAATTGTGTCCTTTTTATAGCAACCAAATCATTTTCACAATATTGTCTCGCTTTTTTTCGACGCTTATTATATATTTTTTTATTCTCCTCTTGTACTTTGATTATGTTTTTTTCGCGCTTCTTCCCTCAATTCGTCTCGATCTTCTTGGAACATTGTTTCCCATTCGCTCTCTATTATATCTTTTACCTCACAATTATTTCGCAATCTCATATGAGTGCCGAATAACAACTGAAAAAGTGAAGTACCCGTGCTACGACCCGGAATCGCATTCAGATACTGCTGCGCTAAATTCAAATATCTATACCATTCTTCTGGTTGAGGCGCCGCTAATTTTGTCAGTATCGGTATCAGTGTACGATTTACTCGCTCCGCTTGACCGTTCGATCTAGGTATACTCGTCGTAATTAGCACGTGCTCAATATTTTCGCTCTTACAATAACCACAGAACTCATTAGACGTAAAAGCAGTTCCTCTGTCGGAAATTATTCTCTTAGGATTTCCGAAGACAGCCGCCAATTTATTCAGTCTATCTAAAACTTCCGCAGTGGCAGTCGAACGAGTCACAAATAGCCATACAAATTTTGTAAATCCGTCTTTCACGACAAAAATATAATGATATCTCTTTTTAGTCGATGGAAGTGGTCCCACGTGATCAATGTGATACCTATCGAGAGGCACATTACCCTTAAGAATCGGATTCAAATAACCATCTAAGTTGCCTGACTTCCTGTTGTCTAAAATGCAGCTAATGCAATTACGAATAACTTTTTTTATCGCATTACGCATATTAGGGAACCAATAATCTCACTTTAACAGTGCTTCGGTCTTATCGATCGCAAAATGACCGCTTTCGTGTACACGTCGTATTACCTGAGATTGTAAACATCTCGGCACGATCAGCTGTCACCGTTGTTGTCTATAAATAGTAATCCACCTCTCACAATATAACCATCACATTGATTTTCCTTTGCCAACATATAAGTATCCCGTAATTTTGCATCGTCTTGCTGAGCCCTTCGAATTCATGACCTTAGCGGTCATGCTATCATCTAACTCTTCGATCAACAAAGCACAGAGAAGCGGATAGCGACTCAAAGCATCAACATGTGCCATATTCTTGCCCGGACGATGTACGATAGTATAAGTAAATTCTTCGAGTAATAAGGCCCATTTAGTAACGCGAAGATATTTCTTTCTCATTGTTAACGAGAACGCCTGGCAATCCGTAACAATACTAAAGCTAATCTCCAATAGATAAACTCGAAATTTACGAAACGCTTTTATTATCGCCAAAGTCTCAAGCTCGTAACTCGTATATTTAGCTTCCGCGTTGGTTGTTTTACCGCTCGCATAATACACAGGGTGAAACATATTATCGCTGTCGCATTTTTATTTTGCAACAATATAGCGCCATAGCCCTGCGCTGAAGCGTCGGTATGTAACTCGGTCTCAGCTTTCTGTTCAATCGTAACATCGGCTTAACGCTCAACGCAAGTTTTAACACGTCGAAAGCCTCTTTTTCTTTAGAGCCGAACATAAACTTCGCATCGGCCTTCAATAAATCACTCAGAGGTTTTGCAATTAATGTATAATTTCTAATAAATTTACGAAAATAACTTGATAGCCCGAGAAAACTTTGTAATTGTTTCACATTTGTTGGTATTTGGAATTTCATAACGGCTTCGATTTTATTTTCAAAAGGGCGCACCGTACCGTTCTCAATAATATGACCAAGAAACTCATTTCTTGTCTGCAAAAATGTGCGCTTTTTCCAATTAATGTCCAATCCGTAACGTTCGGCGAGTCGCAACGTTTTCTCAAGATTTGAAAGCGCGGTCTCAAAATTCATTGATAGGATAATCAAATCGTCGAGATAAGTTAAAACTATACGGTCCTTAATCAATTCTTTCAATATTTCATTTATAAACTTCTGAAATACCGCTGGCGAATTACATAAGCCGAAAGGCGCGTAACAAAACTCGTATTGACCGTCGGGAACTACAAACGAAGTATATTTTCGGCTTCTTTTTTTTATCGGGACATGAAAAAATCCGTTTCTCAAGTCAAGCGTACTGAACACAACAGCTCTGCGAAGCGCATCTAACTGATCGTCAATTAACGGTAATGGATAACGATCCTTGATTATTTTTTTATTTAATTGCCTGTAATCAACACATGGTCTCGTTCCTCCGTTTTTCTTTTTAACCAAAACTACTAGACTCGCGTAATCCGAAAGAGATGGTACCCTTGGATGATACCCTCGCTAAGCCATTTGCTTATATGTGAATTGACTTCTTCTTTTTCAGCAGGTGACAAACATCTAGGTCTTTGATAAACCTACTCATTGTCTCTGAGAATTATCGTCATTTTGCTTCTAGCTTCACACGTCTTACTCGAATTATATTTTTTAATCAAATTCTCTACGATATCTTGGTGGTCAATGGCTACATTCGACAAATCAACATCGTCAGTTTTCGTCACGCAGTCAATTTAAAAAATTTCCGGAACATTGTCTAGCACTTCAGTTTCTAAGAGCGGTTTACGTATAAAAATGTTTCCTTCTAAAATACGTAAATTTACTTTGTCAAGGAAATCCGTACCTATTAATAGAACGTGTTGCGTCAAAGTATTATATATCACCGATATGCTCATCATAAAGATTTCACCGTCAATTTGAATTTCAACGTCAAATTCACCCATCGTCTTATGATTTTCTGAGCCTAAACCACGGAATGTAACATTGCGACATGTCAAATTTGATGATCCTAATTTTCTATATTGTTCTTCACGCATTAATGATATATCACTACCTGTGTCGATTAAGGCTACAACGCTCTCGTCTTTTATTTTTATATTTTTAAAATATTTACGACTCACGTTAGAGACATGACAAGTATCGTTTATTAGATTACTATTATCATTTCGCTTCGGACATTGAGCAACGTGACCAAAATCTTTACAATTAAAACATTTTGTATCTTTAGACCTCGAAGGACAACTCACCGCCAAATGACCGTACGCACCGCAATTATGGCATCGCTTCTAGCCGACGCATTTTGATTTTCCTGATTGTTACTCTTTTACGCCCGTTGTTCTTTCGCTTCTCGTTGATGATGATCCTGATTCCTCCCGCGCAGCATCACGCCCTCAAACGCTTCCAACAGCGATGCTCTAGTCTTAAGACGCTGGATTCGCGCCCGGTCCCGCAGCAATGGATCAGGAATTCTGTCAATGATATATTCGGTCATTTCCGATTCTTCAATTTTGCATCTATTGCCTAATATTACTTTCTGATGCAGATACTCGGCAAACGTTTCGTCTTTCCGCCATACACGCCGTTCAAACTGTCTTCTCATTATAATTTTACTTGGCTCATGATAAAACATCTTCCTCATCTCTGTCAAAAGCGTAGGAACGTTCATCTCTGAATAATCAGGCTTCGAGTGAAACCAGTCGTGTGCCTTCTCTTTAAGACGCGAGCCGATCACAATCTTTGTCACATCGTCCGACAATCCGTAAGCGTCTTGCAGAGATTTGACTCGCTTTTCCCACACTTCATACGCACTGCTATTGCCCTCAAAATAAGTCAGAAGGTTTGCAACCGCGGTATTTGTAAATGAATCACGCGAAAGCGAAGTTGACGGACTCTGCACCGCCACACGCTCACATCCGCCACCACCAACGTTTCGCATTAAGCGCAACAATTCAAGCTCACGGCGAGCCAACTGCAACTCTCGCTCCGCCACTTCTTTCTCTCTTCGATACAGCTCAATTTCTCTTCGAAAATCGAGAGAAGATCTATTAATGCTCTATGCACTCACATCCGCGCGATCGCCGACCGATTCTTCGCCTTCTCTCACAAACTTCATCCACTCTCCCGTCTCTTTCTAAGAGTCTAGCTATAAGTGCGTTTTTAACTCCTGTCGTAGACAAATTCATTCTTCGCAGCGCTTCTTTCAATTCTATGACTGTAAAGTCATTTGGACTTCCCTCCGCGTTCACCATTTTTTTTTTTTTAGTCTATCAATGTCTCTCACGGCTCAAAATTGCGACTAACTCACGCACGAATTACGTTCAGATTCGATTACGCGACACGAGTTATACTCAGACTCGATTGCGCGGAACGAGTTGTACTCATTGTCAGACTCGATTACGTGGCAATATAACTCAGGCTTTGATATTCCGTCACTTTTATTATCATTATCCCGGACAATTCCCCAAATTTGTAGAAATATATTTTACTTGATTGAACTAAATAAAACTATAAATGTTGTTTATAAAATTAAAATTGATATTTAATATAATATAATACAGTATATAATTCACAATGATTCAAGTGTTCTCGAAGCGCGCGATTTCTACCGACGTCTTATCTTGTCAACGGATGCGAACTTTCTCCGTGTTCTCAGCCTTACAATGCTTTATCATCATCTTTACTTTTCTGCTTCGGTTTGACTCGTCAATAGACAGCAAGTACGTTAATTTGAAAAGCAAAATATATTTGTCACTTCTTATTCGTCGGGAAAGTCACGCAGATATACAATTTTGCCGATAACATATAACGCGTTAAGAGTATTCTTAGCTTACTGTCGGAAACATTTAAAATATGATTAAAAATATAATTTCTAATTCTACATTGATAAATGTTCTTATTATTTTACTTTCTAAAAGTGTATATTTTTAATGCTTTTCTAATATAATATTTCTTCTAAACATATATAATGCATGCACTTTAACTCTTTAAGTCCAGACGTAGGTCTCCTAGACTCACTCAAAAACTGCGCATCAGTGTTTCTAAAAAAACTAGGTTTTTTTAAACGCTTACATCTTTGAAACTACTAGAGATTTTATCGAATTTGTTTTTTTTTATCGATACAGAATTATTCAAACTTTCGAAAAAACTTTCAAAAAAAAACAAAATTGAAAAAAATATTGGTTTTTTGCAGATATTCGATCTTAAAGTCGCGTAGGTCTCAGATCCGGTTTGGCCAACATGTCATTTTTGAGGTCTGGCCATGAAGGGTTAAAATGTTTCTCTATTATTTTTAAATACTCATTTGTATAAATTAAAAATTTCTTCAATTTATGTAACACTTTATATTTATCTAACATTTTTAAACACAGTATGTTTATGTAACTGTAAAACTATAAAAGTTAAAAATGTGACTTTGATATGCGTCAATAATTCAGAATAAATTTTCTTCATTCATAGTTTCCACAATACATCAGAAACCTCGTTAAACGCTTAGCTGGAGTTATGCAATTGAATGTGCGATTTTTGTGTTCTACAAATATGTGAGAACAATATCACATTGGAAGTGTTTTATAACACCTTGTGATGTCAGCATGGTATTTCTATGGTATGTGTAATCAGCTACTATTGATCGCAAAAAAAAAAAATATTTTTCTAAGAAATAAACACACAATGCTGGCTTTGTCGTTATAATACGCTTTCTTATCATTAGTGGTAATGATGTTCTACCACAGCGCGAAATACTGTCGCTGTTCCACAATTGTTGCCAATTTTGTTTGATTTTGTTGTTCTTCGTTCCTCTTCATTCTTTGAATACTAGTTTGTGTATGTATGACAAGTAATTAATTAAAACTATTCTCGTTGCATGTAACCTTTCTAACATAAAAGTATGAGTATGAAAGTTGACTTTTCTACTAAGGGATCATAAAAAATAGAGGTAAGAATGTGCCTTGTTCAAAATATTTACACTATTTTGTCTTGATTAATAGAGTTAGATCTATTTCAGGAACAAAACATCACATTACGATAGTATCTTAAGTAGTGTTAAATATATGTTATAGAACAAATCCAGCGTTTTCTATTCAAGAGAATATGAGTGGCAGTTTTACATCTTTACCAGAATACTAATTTAATAGCGACAAGGATACATAGACAATAACATTTTAAACATTGAGCAGAAACAAATGTCTTCAATCAGAGATTTACACTAGAAGTAAATTTAAGCAGTTTTTTAATTATATAATTTGTTGTTGAATTGTGACAAAATATTACACATACAAAACAAAACATTTTATACAGATAGGATAAGTTAAATTTACATAATAATATAATAATTAGCACATAATTAAATAAGTAAGAAGACATACAGCTGTATATAAAGTTTTTTATTTCCCTGAACTGGCTGCACTACTTCAGAGTTTATATTTTTTCTTCTAATATACATAAAAGAAGATAGACTATGAACTAGTGCAGCCAGTGCAGAAATAAAACAATGTTCACACATATGTGTGCATATTTACAATAAATTTTTAATAAATGAAAATCGAAGAAATATAAAAAAATATACACGCAATATACACATGTATCTATTGTATACACACGCAATACATATTTATACTAATAAAAAAATATATATATAAGTACTAATATATTTACACTAATTCAGTAAAGATATTTTATATTTCTTTAATGTAATAAGTTTTATTTTATCCATGGAAAAATATATTAATATTTGTAAGAACAGATATTACACGATAAAATGCTTCGTCTCTGATTATATAAGACAAATGTCCCAGTAACCGAACATGTCCCGGTATCCGGACAGTAATGCAAATTTTCCTCTGGTTCAAGTAGATAAAATCGTATGTATGTAATAATTGGGCTGTTGTGAACCGTTGTTGCAGGATGTTGTGCAGTGAAAAACAATATTGGAGATAAAGTTAAACGTTTCGACTATTTATTTAGTCATCTTCAGTAGTAAAACTGTAATAAAATTATTTTACTGTTACGTCCTGAGACTCTACGGTGCTCTTTTCCTTGCAACGCGACGCGCCGACATACAATAAATTTTTTTTTTTTACATACAATTCCTTTTTTTTAAGAAACAATAAATAACACGAACGGAAATTACATCGGCGCCCGAAAAGATAAACCGCGCCTGGCAATAACACGAAATTTTAGATAACTATTCGAGCAGCTTTCCAAACAAACCCGGATATCTCCGAGTCATGAAAACGCCGGTCATAAGAATTAGAGCGGCCGGCGCAAATAGAAACTCCGGCATTTTTATTATAAACAAACAACAAGGAGTCTATGCGGCGTGATCGAAAAAACAACACTTCCCTTTTTTCCTTCTCTGAAAAATCGGACGAGGCGACCGAATCGAGAGATCGTCGCCGATTGGCGATCTCGCAAGTCGCCCGACCGACTAATTAACAAATAGGAACCAGCAAAGCTCAACTGAGTTCCCGATTGGGAGAGTCCTCGCTTACTCAAAACGGTATATAAGCCAGGGCTCTCGGAATCGAAAAAAAAAGAACCGCGCCGCGTGTCTAGAGGCAGGTAGTGCCGCAGATTTTAGAAGCACCACAGCGAGTGAGTGAGTGACAGTGAGTGCAGAATGTGAGATCCAAGAGTGAACTACTGCGCCGCAACAGCCTAAAACCTTTTATCACGGGTCCGCAGTAAGTAGTAAGTCCATCCATAAATTTTAATCGGAGGTTTCACCACAGCATATTATTTTGTTTCTCCGCAACCAACTTCCTTTGACCACTCTCGCCGGGAGAGCAGTTCGCGACTCCAGTCGTGAATAGCGTCCAACCGAGAAGTCAGCTCCTTGTTCGACCACCCTCGCCGGGAGAGCAGTTCGCGACTCCAGTCGTGAATAGCGTCCGACCAAGAAGTCAGCTCCTTGTTCGACCACCCTCGCCGGGAGAGCAGTTCGCGACTCCAGTCGTGAATAGCGTCCGAATTATTTCTTTTTCCTTCCTAAATCACGGAAACAAGCAAAGCCCGCTTATCTCCGAATATCAGTCTTAGAATCATGACACATCCAAATTTATTCCTATCGTTATTTCCATTGAAACCTAAGAAATGAAACAAAACCGAATTTATCTAGATACAAATCTCTAAGATGATTTAAGTTGTATAAATATGGGTTAAGAGGCTGGCTACACTAAAGAACTCGCACTCTCTCTCTCTCACACTCGCGTTCTAGCGTGTAGATTACATTGTACGAAACGATTATATGCTCCTTTATTGTATTAATTTCTGCATGTCTGTTATTAATTCATTGATTTCGATTTTTCAATAAATATAACTACTTTGTAATATGTGGAGTCAAACTAAAGAATTATTTTTTGTTATCCTTCTTTCCGTACAACCCACTCTTATTTTCTCGTTAAAATCGCTAGGTCTCGTCCTTGGTAAATGAGACTTGCGTCTCAGACCTAAAAAGGGACCAACGAGTGAGTGTTCGCTAGACAGAGTAAGATCGGCGTGCGCCGTTGATCTGTCGACGAATATAAACAAACTCGCTCGACTCTCTCTCAGCAGGACTTCCGTGTCCACTGTAGAGAGAGATATGGAAAACGACGCGTTTACTGGTGCGTCACACCACAGCCCGACCGTATCCATGGGCCAGGACGTAACATTACATTGTTGTTGATTACTTTTGATAACACGTTATTACGCACAAATAAATATAATGAAAAAAAATTATAATGAAACAAATTGTAATGATAAACGCACATGTGTACACTTCTAAATTACAAAGATTAAATGTATGTGTCTTGCTTGAATGTTTAGTACAAACTGAGAGTCAAAACATATTAAAAGATTGTCAGATAAACATGGTACGCTGGCTAAAATGCGTGACGAAAATATAGAATATCAACACTTCTACAAAAGACATCCTTCAACGTTCTTCAAATTCATCGAGACATATTTTGGCAAGTCATCTAAAATTCTTAAAGAAATGGATTACTTTTAAATACCGCGTTATCAAAAACCAGTTACACATTTATTTCGTTCAAACTTGTATCCGTCAAAATTTAATACCCAAATATAATACCCACATATCAAACATTAAATTTCCAACATTTTCCTATTTTAAAAATGTCAATAAAATGACATTATAAATAATTTACAAAAAGAGTAATAAAGTTAGAACTCAACGATAAATATAGGATATTAAAACAACGCAAAAAAGCACTGTACAGTTTAACATTAGAAATGTACAAAATGTTTCCTAAAAATATCATCACACAATTCATATACACCCAACAAGTGTCGATGAACAAATTTTTTATAAAAACGAAAATTATCCTCAACAAAAAAAATTACTCTTTTAAATAATAATCGTTTTTGCAATATATAATCTATCCAATGTTTTGTCCAACGTAACACAAAAACTTCGCAAGATAACGCAATATGGGAATATAATTTCAATCAAAATGAACAAGCGAGTAACATTATCAAAATTAACATAAAACCTGAAGAATTTCAACACGAACTTAATACAGAATTAAAATTAAACGATAAATGGTTCATAAATCTTACTGACACAACAATTCCATCAAATATCACAGAAATATTACAATTAGGTGATAGATTCACTCTCCCAGTCAAACATAATAAAAAGAACATTGTAATTGAAACTATCAAAGATGTAGAACGTAATATAATGAAATATGACCGCACCACTAAAACACATATCCACAATCACATTACATCCTACCTGAATGAATTCATAGACGATGTGGTGCACACCACTTTATGAACACGCCGTGCAGCGGTGAGACGGCCTTAAGCTTGGGCCGGCGGCCCGCCGCCGCGCGGCTAGTACGGCGCGCCGCCGCTACACGGCGCACCGCGGCGNTAGTTCGCCCGCAAGCAACATTGGCCCCGACGGTTAGATAAGACGGCCGTCGGCGGCCCTTCGANATCCAGCTAGCCAGATAGCTANAGCGCAATCAGCTCGCTATCTAGTTGGAACAAGCACCGATCTCTCCGAGAGATCACTTTTTCTCCAGTGGAGAAAAAGGCAAAAAGGCATTCCGCCACAAAGTCCTCTCAGGGCTGCCGAGCGACCCCGAACACCCGGGTCAGAAAAACTCCCGAGGGTAGAACAATTTCTACCTTGGCGCCTAATTCCGATCGACCTTCCTCCTCCACGGACCACACCTCCAAGGAGACCGATCGCCTGGGACAGACCGCCGACGCCATCTTACACTCCTCGGCAGCGGAGTGTCTCCACGCAGACCCAGGCCGATAGAGTCGACTGCGGCACGCAGACCAGGGCTCGACAGAGGGCTAGGAGGCGAGGAACAAAACCCTCCACCGCAGAACGGGCCTGCCAGGCAGAGGACATACGCCCGGCTTCAACAGAAGCAGCCGTTCAGACAATCGACAGCAGATCTTCGTCGATATCACCTCAGCGGTTCCAGGGCACCGACTGGCGGCTAACCCAAGCCAGGCCTCGAATATTCTGGAAAGAAAAGGCTTGAGAAAAAGCCTCTTTCCAGGGCCGACACCAAACGGCCCTTTTCAGGGCCCCTTCTTATATAAAACCAAAAACAATCTCCTGTACATAGTGTAAATAAAAGTCTCTTTTCATTCTAGAAAGAGCTTTTTATAAATACACGCCCATCACATCCACGATCCTCGCTGCCACCACCGTCGTCGTAACCTCGCCGTCTTCTCGCATAACTGCCTCATCCAAAGACGATAACAAACCACTAACATACATAGACAATAATATACTCCACAAAGCCAAATCAGTCTCAAATTTTATCAACAATAATCCTGATATTATTTTTACGAGAGCGGACAAAGGGAACACCACTGTTGCCTTACTTAAAAATGATTATATTGATAAAATTAACAATATACTAAAAGATGAAAATACATACATACACATAAATAAAAATCCACTGAAAAACATCAACAATCAACTAAAACAATTACTAGATAGATGGAACATTAAAGGTTATATCAGTAATTTACAAGAAATACATGTATAATAGTGATCCAAAACTACCGAGAGCATATGGTATTCCTAAAATCCATAAAGTAAATCATCCATATAGAATTAGAATATCCACCATTGACAGTCCGTTACATCAGTTTTCTCTGTTTTTACATAAAATTATATACAACAACATACCCAATTCTCCGTTCTACATCAAAGATAGCTTTCATTTATACAACAAACTATCAGGACAATAAATTAATGACACTTTTATACTTTGTTCCTTTGACGTAATATCATTGTTTACCAATATACCCATTGAAATGGCA